CATAACCAGGGCAAAGGCAAGCAATTGGTAACAATCAAAGTTAACGTATCTGAGACAATTGGTGGATAAGGATTGTATTAGTTGTTTAAAAACAGGCCATAAGAGATCTGGAGCTAAGGGCTGTGATGCTGGGGAAGGAGGAGGCCATTTGAACCCTATCAAAGGGTCCCGGGGAGCAGATTCCTCCCTCCGTTTGCTGCATCTGGGAAGAACGGAACTCTCGCCAGGGAAGCTGCAGCTGCGTGCACCCTTGGCTTAATCGCTGTGTAAGGCGGAGGGTTAATTAGCTGCCATTCTTAGCTCCACTTGTTGTTCTAATAAAGATCTGCATAAATCTGAGACTGGGAGCACCCGATCCTTGATTTCATTCGGCAGATGAAGGGGGGGAGGGGAGGAGTGTGACGATTGTGGGTGTGCTCAGAGCATCTTCAAGTGACCTGGCCTGGGGCGTTCTGCCTGCTTGAAAAGCGGTGGACGAAGACCTCTCGGCTGTTTATGGACGCGGGACCCTGCTGGCCAGGCTCACGGCAGGCAGCCTGGAGTGTGAAGCAGATTATCAGGGAATGAAATCCACAGAGTGTATTTGCAAAGCACTCAGTATGGATCTCTAAAAGGAGAGGACAGATAAAAAATTCAGCCTCACAATTCTGTTTTATTATGCCTAAAAATTTCTGGCAATCATTCCTCAATATCCAATACCTGGTTTTCCAATTGCCGATTATCTCCTAAGTTGTATATGTTTTTTGGGGGGGGGAGTTTTTGCATGATACAGTGTCAGAATCACATTTAGAATCAAACCAGTTCACAAGAATCTCATGATGTCTCCTAAGGTAGGCACTATCATTATGCCTATTTTACAGACCAGAAGGCTGAGGCAGAGAGGAGTTAGTAGCCTGATGGTCACAGTCAGAATGTAGGGGAAAGCTTAGCAGCTCAGTAGAGATTTGCAGCAAAAAAAAAAAAAAAAAAGGCCTGAATGGTTCTATTAAGAACACACCACAGAAACAGAGGCTTCGGTACAAATGAACGGAGAGTGTGGAACAAAAAAGTTTATAACTACCAAGTTGTCTTTTCAGAATTTCCCCATATTATGAAATGCCAACATCTTCCATTTCAGCACTTAGGGAACCACCACCACAACAAAAGAATCAAACAAGTTCATAACACTTTAGAAAGCAACAGTAGTAGAGCAGAAAGAACTGAGATTAATGATGCCAGATGTTACGCAGATATATGAAAAAAAATTAGTAATATTTCTGGACATTACTCTGTGAATAAAGCATTTGGGACAGGAAAACTGTTGACCTTATTTTATCTCATAACTGTCAGTGTTCTCAGTATAGTTCATTTTGTATGAGGGAAAATACCCATTAATAGGCCTGAAGACCGTTATATAGGCAGATTTTAAATAATAAATCAACAGATTTCATATAAAGGATATGCTAAAACAGCTAAGAGTTTGAAAAGACAACCACGAAACAGCAAAAACCAACTTTGAAAGAGGACATTAAATAGAACAGAGCTTAAGTTTTATACACGCTTGAGAAGAGAGTGCTTACAAACAGGAGCTCTGCCATGAAAGATGGAAATGTGTTTCCTACTGTAAACTTCAGCAGTTCATGGATTAGATCATGTTCACCAAGCAGGACCACAGTCAGAGGATCCGGGAGGCTGGTGCTGACCTTCTGAGCCCATCAACCTCCTCTCCTCTGGCTGTCCCTGTGCCCCCAGCAGTGTGTCACAGCCATACTCTGGCAGCCAGCTATGCCTGACTAGGCAGAGTGTCACGGCAGGCCCAACAAACACCCCTGTGAAGTGTGAACAGGGAGACCTGCCTAGAACAGACCTGCTGGGAACAGAACAGTTACCCCTGGTGCACCCGTCCACTGGCTGGTAACGGTTGGACATCTGCCACCTGACAGATAATCCTTCCCAAGAGATAATATAGTCTCGGCACTACTAATTCAGGACTAGGCTTTTTTTTTCAGATTAAAAAATCCAAGAGGGTCCATGCTGAGGAGGTGGTGCTTGTTAGAGATTATTTAATACTATCTTCTCTCAGTTAAATGCAGCTGAGTGGGTACTTATCACATCAAATGGATGCCCATTTGGAGTCCTAAATATTCTGAGAGATAACATCAAGAACAATCCATTATGCTGACAGAGGGCTTTCACATACACCATCTCATTTTAAACTCACAGGACTCCTGTGATTTAGGTGCAGCTGAGGATAATGTCCATTTGATATAATGAACGGAGGGTGAGGAAAGTTAAATGGCTGGTACCAGGTCACACAGGTAATAAACAGTGGAGCTGGTTTTTAAATCTATATCTGCTGACTATCAATACCATGCAAGAAAGGGTGTGCAGCCCCACACTGAAACACAAAACATCTGTTCTGAATGGACCGAAAATTCTTGAAAGAGACAAATGTAAATTATGAGAAAAATATGAAAAAAGATGAAAAAAACCCCCCAGTTCATGCAGGAACAAGAGTGGGAGCCCTTATAAAGCTGGCTAAATCTGTGTCTTCATGCAAAGCCTGCCTCTGAGCTGACAGCACTTCTGGTGTTAAAATAGGTCTGCAGATTCAGTGTAAGAAAATCTTTATTCATAGTCTATCAAACTTACATTTGTGACTGTTTGAAAATAGGTTAGATTGAAGTTTAACATCAATCTAGGGAGAAAAATCAACAGAGACTAGAAGGAAGTGTACCAGAAAACAGTGTGAAATAAATCCACTGAACAAAACAATGGGCTTTTTGGACTTGTTTTTGATAACTTTGTTTAAAACCCCAGAAGTGTGAACGTACCTGTAAATGATGTGCCGATTAGAAACCTTTTTCATGTGTGTTAAAGTATGAACACTTAGTTTGTTACCATGTATTGTACAGAGAGTATTCTACTCTTATACCAGATAGGCTGTCTCTAGTTGGTGACACTTAAGGGACATGACTAGCTTTAGGTTTTTTCTTACTATTCATAGCATAATTTTCAAAATCTATTTATCCTATTTATGTGATTTTGCTTTAGCCAGGGGTGATTTTTTAATTTTTTTTGCAGAATGTGTCTCTAATTTTCTGAGACACAGAAAAAACTCTAACTTACGGAACAGAAACCTTTCTTGACTGCTGAGAGAAGGCTCTGGGGGAGCGCAGGGTCTCCTCCATAGAGAAGAGAATGAGGTGATGGGTCCATTCCAGCTCGCGTGGTTCCCTCTGGGGTAAGGACTGCCCCTCAGCACCAAGTTTTCTCTAAGTGTGAAGTGACACCTTATTCCATGTATAAGAAGTGAAGACTTCTTATTCACCTTGTGTGAGGCTCAGAAGTGCCTCATAAACAGTAGAGTCTCAGAAGTTTTTTTTGCTTTCTTTCTTTTTTCCCCAGTTTTATGGAGCTATAACCGACATATAACACTGTGAGTTTAAGGTGTACGGCATGATAACTTGACACCAAAAGTTTCCTGAATAAGTGACTTACCTCTCAAAATAAATTTTTTCTCTAAAAAACAGAAAAACCCCTCGTCTCCAAATTTCAGCAAACCCCAGAAGATAGTCCCACGTTGCAACATTTCCGAAAGGAAATATCACACACACAAAAAGCCTTTTTAAGACAAGACCTCCAAATGAGGTTATACAGTCACAGAGATAAATAGGACTGAAATAGGAATAGTGAGACTGAAAAAACAAAGTATTTGTCGTTTAGTTTTAAATTAGTACATCATGATTGAACTTCACTATCTGGCATGAAGTATGAATTAATTTAAAAAATATTTTATAATGATCTTGCACAACTATATTTTCTTTTTGGTGTTAAAACCATTAATTTGTTATATATAGTCTACATATATCACGATTTAATTAGATTGCTTTTAAATGCCTTCACTAAAAAAATTTTTATTATTGAAAAACAACAAACATACAAAAATGGAAAAGATGATAATTTCTTCACGTTTTATTAACCAGCCAGGGACCTAAGAGAGACCTCGATTCCCATTTGCCATTTCTCTCGTCTAAAACTTCACTTATCTAGTGAGTTCATTCCTGAACATGGTAGATGGAATCTCAAAAAACATTAAGACTATTAATTAACTACTCAATGAAGAATTTCTCATTGAGAACATCAATGAAAACCCCAATGAAAAACCTTTGGATTTTTGTATTTTCCAAAATACACCCAAATATGTAAAAAAATTGGCAGTTGGTTAGTCTTTTAGTTAAAAGAAGCTGGTCAAAGACGTGTAATCGTGCATCTAGGAAGACAGGAAGTAAGAATTTTCAGCATTAAGCATACCAGCGAGCCTCAGGGGCTTGGCCATAGGCTCTTTTCAGGTTTCCTGGGAAGCTGCATTTCCTCGTTGACTTTCTGGGTATTTCCTCGTTGACTTTTTGGGTATTTCCTAGTTCAGGAGTTTTTTGGCCCTAATAGCTTGTAAGGATGCACGATTATTGAGATGCGAAAATGGTGACGTCTGTGTGGTGCTGCCTGGTGGCTGTCAGATTTTAATAGCCCACGTTTCCCAAATGAACATCTTCTGGTAGGCACCTAATTAAACATCTAGCTATTCAATTTGAATTTTTATTATTAGCTCAGGCCCAGCGGCCACGGCTCACGGGCGCAGCCACTCCGCGGCATGTGGGATCTTCCCAGTCCGGGGCACGAACCTGTGTCCCCTGCATCGGCAGGCGGACTCTCAACCACTGTGCCACCGGGGAAGCCTCTGTAACGCATTCTTTAAATGCACTTCCCCATCTAAAATGATTTTTCATTCATGCTTATCACACTATGCTTTTTCCTTCTTGGCAAATAATAAGTTTTTGAAAGACAAATGACCAGACTGAATTGAAAAAGAAAGCAGTTACAAACTATGAAAATTTAAGATCAATAAGAATAAAAATAATAGTGCTAGTGGTAGTATTGGCGGTGGTAAACAAATTACTAAGGTCTGACATTCAAGCCTTGAGTAGCTCCAATTCTACACTGGATTACAAGTCTCTTACCGGGATTGCAGTCTGTAAGAAGAGAGCAGATGGACAGGAGAACTTTAGAAATGGTGAGGGCCGGACTCCAGTTGTCTTTCAGGATGTCCAGACAGATCACGCCTTGGCTGTTAATATTACAGTGATAAATTCTGGTTCGGAAGGTAACCTAGAAGAAAATGTAAAGTTGATATAAATAGACACACTATTTATTTATTCATAAAATTTTATTATAGTTGATTTACAGTGTTGTGTTAGTTTCAGGTGTACAGCTAAGTGAGTCAGTTATACATAAACATATATTCACTCTTTTTCAGAGTCTTTACCCATATAGGTTATCACAGAATATTGAGTAGAGTTCCCTGTGCTATACAGTAGAGGTCCTTGTTGGTTATCTATTTTAAATATAGTAGTGTGTGTATGTTAATCCCAAGCTTCTGATTTATCCCTCCCAGCCCACATTTCCCCTTTGGTAACCATAGGTTTGTTTTTGAAATCTGTGAGTCTGTTTCCGTTTTGTAAATAAGTTAATTTGTATCAATTTTAAAAATCAGATTCCACATATGAGTGATATCACATGATACTTGTCTTTCTCTGTCTGACTTACTTCACTTAGTATGTTAATCTCTAGGTCCATCCATGTGCCTGCAAATGGCATTATTTCATTCTTTTTGTGTGGCTGAGTAATATTCCATTGTATATATATGTGTGTGTGTGTGTATACACACACACACACACACATATATACATATATATATGTACCACATCTTCTTTATCCATTCCTCTGTCGATGGACATTTAGATTGCTCCCATGTTTTGGCTATTGCAAACAGTGCTGCAATGAACATTGGGGTGCATGTATCTTTTCAAATTATGGTTTTCTCCAGATATATGCCCAGGAATGGGATACTGAAAATATGAAAAGCCAAATTAACAAAATTAAGGTACTGAATGAAGATGAAATTCCATGCTCAACAACTAAAGGATACTTATTCTTTTCCAAGCACGTAAGAAACATTTATAAAAACTGATCACATGCTAAGCCACAAAGAAAGCTTAACGTATTTCCAAAAATTATTAAGACTATTAAGGTCCCCCTTCATACATTTGCAAACTGAAAAATACATTTTCAAATAATTCTTGGATCAAAGAAAAAAAATCAGCTATGTTTATAACTGAGTGACAGTGAAAATGTTGGGTTGCCAATACCAAAATCTGTGATTTGCCTAAAACAGTTAATGAAAGAGAAATCTACAGTTTCAAATGCATATATTAAAAAGGAAGAAGTTTCCTGAGTTGTGCCCAAAGGAAGAAAAAAGAATAGAGTAAATCCCATGAAAGTAGAGAGGAATGGGCAGAAGTTAATAAAATAGAGAATACCTGTGATATTAAAATTCTGCAGAGAAGTGAGAGTACCTAGCTATTTAAGTGCTAGACGAAAAGACAAAATACTTTTATGACCCAGTGTACGTGATGAGTGGCTTTTGTCTATAATACCATATTTTTAAAACCTATCTGAGTAGAGTTTCCTGTGCTATACAGTAGATCCTTGTTGGTTACCTATTTTATATAGTAATGTGTGTATGTTAATCTCAAACTCCTACTGTATAGCACAGGGAACTCTACTCAATACTCTGTAATAACCTATATGGGAAAAGAATGGATATATGTATATATATGTATAACTGAATCACTTTGCTGTACACCTGAAACTAACTACTGTAAATCAACTATACTCCAATAAAATGTAAAAAAAGAGAAAAAACTAGCTCAGACTACTCTGAGCCAGTTAATCACCAAAATGAGTAAAGGAGGGAAGTATTATTATTGTACTCACTTTAAAAAGAAGCTGTAAGTATGTGAGGTTGGTAGATGCTAACTAAACTTACTGTGGTACTTATTTCAAAATATATACCTATATCAAATGAGTGTGTTGTACACCTAAAATTAATACAATGTTATATGTCAATTATATCTCAATAAAACAAAAAAATTTTATTAAATAAAGAAACTGAGGAATCTCCATGCTGTTTTCCATTGTTGCTGCACCAATTTATATTCCTATGATATGATCCAGCAATTCCACTCCTGGGCATTTATCTGAAGAAGATGAAAACACTAATTTGAAAAGATATATGCACTCCTATGCTCATGGCAGTATTATTTACAATAGAAGATATGGAAGCAACGTAAGTGTTCATCGATAAATGAATGAATAAAGATGTAGTGTACACACACACACACTGGAATATTACTCAGCCATAAAAACGAATGAAATCTTGCCATTTGCAACAATATGGATGGACCTAGAGGGTATAATGCTAAGTGAAATCAATCAGACAGAGAAAGATAAATACTGTATGATTTCACTTACATGTGGAATCTAAGAAACAAAACAAATGAACAAACTTAGCAGAAGCAGTCACAGATACAGAGAACAAACAGGTGGTTGCCAGAAGGGAGGTTGGTGGGGAGAGGAGAGAAATTGGTGAAGGAGATTAAAGGTACATGATAAACTTGCAATTACAAGATAAATGAGTCACAGGTATGAAATGTAGAGTGTGGGGAATATAGTCAATCGTAATGTAATATCCTTTGTATGGTGACATATTGTAACTACACTGATTGTGGGGATCATTTTGAAATGTACAGAAATACTGAATCACTATATTGTGTATTAGGAACTAAGACAGTGTTGTAGGTCAACTATACTTCAAAAACAAACTCACAGAAAAAGGATCAGATTTGTGGGCAGAGGGGGAACTGGATGAAGGCAGTCAAAAGATACACACTTCCAGGGACTTCCCTGGTTGCACAGTGGTTAAGAATCCGCCTGCCAATGCAGGGGACACGGGTTCGAGCCCTGGTGCGGGAAGATCCCACATTGCCGCGGAGCAACTAAGCCCATGCGCCACAACTACTGAGCCTGCGCTCTAGAGCCCGCAAGCCACAACTACTGAGCCCACGTGCCACAACTACTGAGCCCGCGTGCCACAACTACTGAAGCCCATGTGCCTAGAGCCCATGCTCCACAACGAGAAGCCACTGCAATGAGAAGCCCGCGCACCGCAACGAAGAGTAGCCCCCACTCGCCACAACTAGAGAAAGCCAGCACGCAGCAACGAAGACCCAAGACAGCCAAAAAAAATTAAAAAAAAGACACACACTCCCAGTAAGATACATAAGCACTAAGGACATAATGTACAATATGGTAAACACTGCTGTTCGTTATGTATGAAAGTGGTTCAGAGAGCAAATCCTAAGGGTTTATGAAAATAAAAATACATTTTTAAAATAAAATTATTTTCCCCTATTTCTTTAACTTTGGATCTATATGAGATAATGAATGTTCACTAAACTTACTGTGGTAAAAAAAAAATGAAGAAACTGTGGCACAGAGAGGTTAAGAACTGGCTCATGGTCCCACAGCTTGTAAGTGGTGGAGCCGGAATTTGAACACAACCTTGTTGATCCAAAAGTCCATGCTCTCCCGTTCAGCCTCAATGCCTGTTCTTTTATTTTTTTTAAAAAACTTTTAATTCTGAGCTAAGTACAGATTCACATGCGGTTGTAGGAAAGAATACAGACAGATCACCTACATCCTTCCCCCACTTTCCCCCAGTATCACAGGAGAGTGATACCGACACAGAGGATGGATCCATGCACTGATGGATGTATGTGTTCCTACGCAATTGTATCACGGGTAGATTTGTGTGCGCACCACCGCTGCCGAGACACAGAACAGTCCATCACAAACATCCTTTGTGAGACCCTTCACTAGCCACAGTCCTCCCCCCACTTCTGAATTCCCAACAAACACAACTCTATTCCTCTCTCTCTAATTCTGTCATTTCAAGAAGGCTATATAATTGAAATCATACAGGACGTAACTTTTTGAAACTGGATGCTTTTCACTCTGCACAATACTCTTGTGATCCGTCTAAGTCGTTGCATGTATCAAGACTTCGCTGTTTTACTGCTGAGTAGTAATCCACGATATGGATGTACCAGTTTGTTTAACCATTTACCCACGGAAGGACAATGGATCGCTTCCCGTTTTTAGTTATGACAAATCAAGCTGGTATGAACGTTTCTCTGTGTTTGTGTGAACGTAAGTTTTTATTTCTCTGGGGCAAATGTCCAAGAGTGCAATTGTTGGGATGTACGGTGAGCTCATATGTAGCGTTATAAGAAGCTGCCAGACTTCTTTCCGGAGCAGATGTACCATTTTACATGCTCGCCAGCGGAGTGATCCAGTCTCTCTGCGTCCTCACCGGCGTTTAGTGCTATCAACGTGCTTTATTTTAGCCATTCCGCTAGGGTTCAGTGATACCTCATTGAGGCTTTAATTTGCATTTCCTTAGCTGCTAATGATGTTGAACACGTTTTCATGTGATTAATTGTTATCTGGATACTCTCTTCCATGAGAGAGGATGTGTATGTTTTCTGCCAATTTCTAATTACAGTAAGTCCCTTACATACAAACGGAATGTGTTGCGAGATCCAGTAAAGTCAGCTTAGGTACCCCACTAACACAATTGGCTACATAGTACTGTACTGTAATAATAGGCTGTAATACTTTTCAAACAAATAATACATAAAACACAAACACAAAAAATAAAAACATTTTACATCTTACAGTGCAGTACCTTGGAAAGAACAGTAGTGCAGTACAGCAGCTGGCACACAGGGGCTGGCATCGAGGGAACAGGCAAGAAGAGTTACTGACTGGAGGAGGGAGGGGAGGTGGGAGATGGCAGAGCTGAAGGATCGTCAGCAATAGGGGGCAGAGGGCCAGCTGCAGTGTCACTCACGCCTGACGCTGATGGCGCAGGATCTGGTTCCTTGCTGGATTCAATTCTATCCACCCTCTTGAAAAATCGATCCAGCGATGTCTGGGTAGTAGCTCTTTTTTTCTCGGCATAGATGACACGGTAGCACTGGGTTGCATTCTGAGCGGCTGCTGCAGCCTCCGTGTACTGTTCTACGTTCAGGTCCTGTGCCTCAAAAACTAACAGCGCCGCCTCAGATAAAGAAAATCCCCTGCCATTTCCTGCGTCGTGAATCCCTTCGGTTCTTCAGTTACTTCTTCTTCCTCTTGTCTCTCTTCATCCTTTTGCTGGATGAAGATCCAGTTCCATCAGGTCTGCATTAGTAAGCCCCTCGTGT